CCCCCCACCCCCCCCCACCCCCACTTTGCAGGACCTCTCTAGCACACGGCCTCCCATATAGTAGTTAGTAGAGACAGATGTCCAGGGGACCTACTAGGCACTCAGCACTGGTCTAGGAGCCCAGAAGCAGGAAGAGTTGTGGTCTCCCAGTGGGGAGAGGGACGGTGCTGTGTGCTCCATGCATAAGAGTGGGGCTGGGCTCAGGGGACAATGAGATTCTAGTAAAGGGCTATGTCTACAGGGGTGTTGGTAAGGGGAGGGCTTCCTGGGGGAGGTGAGCTTGCATTTATGCCAGGGACCCGACTCCTGTTAACCCCCTGCCCACCCTCGCAGCTCCCCCGTGGAGTCGGTCCTGTTCTACGCCATCACCACGCTGCACAACCTGCTGCTCTACCAGGAGGGCGCCAAGATGGCGGTGCGCCTGGCAGACGGGCTGCAGAAGATGGTGCCCCTGCTTAACAAGAACAACCCCAAGTTCCTGGCCATCACCACCGACTGCCTGCAGCTCCTGGCCTACGGCAACCAGGAGAGCAAGGTGGGCTGCGCCCCACCCCCAGCCGAGAGCCGCAGCCTTCCCGCGCATCGCCTTCTGTCCCGCTGCAGCTTCCGGCCACTGCCCCCTCACCATTTTTAGGTTAAATACATGAGTACATGCAGCTGTACATGTTTCATTATGTAACTGAAATATTCTGAGGATTAGGAAAAGGAAAGGAAAAAAGGCACTGTCCTCACACAGCCACTGCTGTCTCCGCGTGCTTCCTGCAGTGCTGTCCTGTGGGCATATTTGTCCGTGGTTGTAGTCATGGCAAATGTGCAACTTTGCATCTGTTTCCTGCGTTTTCTTTTTTGTTTGTTGTTGCTGTATCATCCTCAAAACCACCCTCTGTAGGGGCAAATGGCATCTCATTAAGTGGAGGCCCGAGACTTTTTTCTGAGGGCATTTAGATTGCTCTCAATTTTCCACCCTTATAAACAGTGCTGTAATGAACATCTTTGGGCACACAGCTTTTCCCAGGGAATGGAAAATTTTTTCATCAGTGGGACGAAGGATTTTTAATATTTCTGAGCTTTTACCCAGATTTCCAGATCGTTTTCCGAAAGGATTGTATTATTTACAATGTCATTGTTGGTGGTGTATGTTAGTACCATTTCACCTCATCCTTGTCAGCATTGTGTATTATCCTTTTTTCAAAATTTTGGATTTCTTTGCCAGTCACAAAAGCTATTCGGGTTTTGGCTGAAGCGCAGTAATGACAGCTCTGTCACCCCCAATCCTTTCCTTGTTCCTTGTCGTATTTCCTGTCTGTCTCACACTTGTTCTCCACTGTCTCCCCCGCCACCCCAGCTCATCATCCTAGCCAACGGAGGACCCCAGGCCCTCGTGCAGATCATGCGCAACTACAGTTATGAGAAGCTGCTCTGGACTACCAGCCGCGTGCTCAAGGTGCTGTCTGTGTGTCCCAGCAATAAGCCCGCCATTGTGGAGGCTGGTGAGTATGGCCCATGTGGCCAGGAGGGGCGGGGTGAAGGCCTTGTCCAGCAGCCAGGCTTGGCCAGCCATGCTCCCCGTGGCTGACATGCCCCCTGTTCCGTGCCCCAGGTGGGATGCAGGCCCTGGGCAAACACCTGACAAGCAACAGCCCCCGCCTCGTACAGAACTGCCTCTGGACCCTGCGTAATCTCTCGGACGTGGCCACCAAACAGGTGAGGGAGGCGTTTGGGCCTGGGTCCACCTCTTCAGCCACCTTGTCCTCCCCTCTTGCCACATGCACGCTCCTGTCTGGGACTCTGACCTCAGGAGCCGTGGGAGGCCTGAGGCCTCTCAATCTTGCCCTGTTGTGGCTGAGGCTGGAAATACCCTGCAGACCCTCATCCCTTTAGCTTAAGGTTCTAATCACTGTTAAAGATTCAGGAAGGAGAGGTGCCTGGTGGCTCAGTCAGTTAAGCGTCTGACTTCGGCTCAGGTCATGATCTCAAGGTTCGTGAGTTCGAGCCTTGCATTGGGCTCTGTGCTGACAGCTCAAAGCCTGGGGCCTTGTCTGAATTCTGCGTCTCCCTTTCTCTCTGCCCCTCCCCTGCTCGCATTCTGTCTCTGTCTCTGTCTCTCTCTTTCTCTCAAAAATGAATAAACATTTAAAAAAATTAAAAAAAAAAAAAAGATTCAGGAAGGAGAATAGATGAAGGCACTGATGTTCCTAAGCCACACGTTCCCAGATGGTACCAGGGGAATAGTTTTGACCTAGACCCGGTGGCGAGGAACAGTAATACACCAAGAGACAGCTTGGGGCCTCTGCTGGCTAAAAACACAACTTAAAGAAAAATGCAGTTTTAGGACAAGACTCCTGGTCTCCCTTTCCAACATGACTACCGTTCCCTCATCCGTAGGCTGTTTATTCAGCTCTGGCCACTTGCTGGACTCTGCTAGGCACTTGTGAACATTGGCTCGCTTATGTCTTTCAACAACTGGAGGTGGAATGTGGGACCCAGTTGGTTAGGTGAAGAAACAGAGTACCAGGGAGTTACATGATGGCCCTCGCTCACAGCTAGTAAATTGGCCGAGATGGGATTTGAACCCAGAACTGTCATCCCAGAGCCTGGGGGCCTTCTGTTCACAAGGCCCACGTGGCTCCGCTGGGAGAGGTGCGGCTTCTGGGGCAGGAATGTTTCCTGAAAGTGGATTTGGTCTGGGGACCGCTGAGGGGGCAGCAGCAAAGGCCCAGAAAGATGAGAAGCTGGGAAAAATGGGTCAGCTGGGCCACCAAGGCATGTGGCCTCCTCAACAACTTCCTCCTGGCCCTGCCTGGCTCTGAGGCTGCAGAGAGGGGCAGGAGGGGGGTGGAGGGAACAGCACGAACTTGGAGTCAGGCCTGGCTTTGGAGCTGGCCCGCCGGCGGTGGGTCTGTGCGCAAGCCCCTCAACTGCCCTGATAGTACCACCTTCCGTGGGGTGTCGGCAGAATCACAGGGATGAAGATTCCTGGGCACGCAGGCAGGACCCAGTGGCTGTCAGCTGGGTGGGCTTCAGACCGTGAGTTCATCTTGCTGCCCTCGGACGTATTTGGGAAAGACTTCTGGGAGCGGGGGATCCCCCCTCACTCTCCACTGCCTCCCCCACAACCCGCAGGAGGGCCTGGAGAGCGTGCTGAAGATACTGGTGAACCAGCTGAGCGTGGATGACGTCAATGTCCTCACCTGCGCCACGGGCACGCTGTCCAACCTGACGTGCAACAACAGCAAGAACAAGACGCTGGTGACCCAGAACAGCGGCGTGGAGGCTCTCATCCACGCCATCCTGCGTGCCGGCGACAAGGACGACATCACGGAGCCTGCGGTCTGCGCCCTGCGCCACCTCACCAGCCGTCACCCGGAGGCCGAGATGGCCCAGAACTCCGTGCGCCTCAACTACGGCATCCCGGCCATCGTCAAGCTGCTCAACCAGCCCAACCAGTGGCCGCTGGTCAAGGTACCTATTGTGGCCGCCGTGGGGGCCGGGCGAGGGGAAGGAGCTCTCTGCCGTCGGGATTAGGTGCCGAATCAGTGCAGGCAAAGCCGCTCTAATGGGCCCTGAGTCCATAGGCTGGGGTGGCCGCCAGACGCTGCATTTCTAACGCGTTCCCGGGCAATGTTGCTGGTCCACGGGGCGCGTGGCTTCGGCTCACAGTTTGGAACTTGATCACGTTGCCACGTCTAGGTACAAGGAAGCTGGCAAAGCCTCATGTGTCCTGAAGGCCTTGTGTCCCGCTACAACTCAGAAGGGATACTAAAAAGACAAAAACCAGGGGCGCCTGGGTGGCACAGTCGGTTAAGCGTCCGACTTCAGCCAGGTCACGATCTTGCAGTCCGTGAGTTCGAGCCCCGCGTTGGGCTCTGGGCTGATGGCTCAGAGCCTGGAGCCTGTTTCCGATTCTGTGTCTCCCTCTCTCTCTGCCCCTCACCCGTTCATGCTCTGTCTCTCTCTGTCCCAAAAATAAATAAACGTTGAAAAAAAAA